GCCCGATTTGGAAAGTATCTTACCAACCTCTCCCTGATTTGTTCAGGGCCATTAGGCCTGAGCATTTACTGCAGCTTAAAGACCACAGCAAACTTCTGTCCATCTTGTTTCCTCCAGCCACTATTGCAGTTGTCACAAAAGGCTATGTTGGTTACACAAATCATACCTGGTTCATCATATACTTTATAACTCTTCAGATTTCAACCCCACCCCCACTTTTTTCAGCATGCCTACTGTGGAAAAGAATTCTATTTGACCAAGGTCTCTCAACAGCAAAATGAGATCTTGAAGTAGTACTGGTTTCTTAGGGACGTCGTGCTCCCATGTAATGGAATAATTAACATTTCATCCTGTCATGTAGTTTACAATTCTTTATAGGGGATTATCTACTTGTTAGAAAAATGCAGCATTTGTTTAAAGTCCTCTGGGCACCCATACAAACAAGCCACATTCAGGGAATGACCAGCACCAAGGAACAGCTAAGAAGAAGAAAGTCTCTGCCCTGGGTTTGTGTACCACCAAGCCCAGACACCCTTACTGATGAAAGCATCCAAGGTCTTTAAAAGCAGTTTGAGAAAAGGAGTATTTGGGTTAGTATTTAGTATCAAACTGCCTAAGACTTTGGAGATCAAGTCAATGCTTTTCAAATTATAGCCAAAACACAGCCAGTACAGACATAGGGAACAGGGGCTTCGCATCACTCTTAAGGGCTGCTCAGAACAAATTTCCCCCCTCCGCGATCAGCAAGTTGCTCTCTCTTTGACAGACCTTGTTCTGGATGCAGTTATGCGATAGGAGGCCTCGTGCTCCACCATCCTGTTGGAAACAGCCCGATTCAGGACGGCAGCCAGAACAGCGCCATGCACTGACCCTGAGAGGGGAGCGGGTTAGTGCAGTAATATCACTTTAGTCAAACTCATTTCTGCCCAATGTCTAAGATTCCTACCACCCCAGTTTCCAGCAGTTGCTGCCTCCAACTTAAACCTTTCTTTAGCAGAAATAAAGGTGCTCAGATTTTTAATTCCAACTGATAGCAGAGAGGCAGTATCCACCATACAGTCACTGATACAGTCAACAGATACCAAATGGCAATAATTCTCTGAAAGCAGCATTTAGCCATCCCACTGTTTTCAGCAATTTGAATATTCTTATTCCAATTCTTAGACGTTAAGGACCACATGCTAACTATGCATAGAACAAAAACACACAGATTTTCTTCTCCAATTTATATAGAAGGTGTAGGGTTCACTATAATTGAGACTGGAGGATTACAAATTATTTGTCTTTCAGCCATGCATGGTGACATTAATCTGTGTGACAGACACAAACTGTGCTCCAATTGTGAAGTCAGACTAACCAATCTAAAAAGCAGCCAATCCAGGAAACTTAGAAATACATTTTTAAGAAAAAAATTGCAATTTAACTTGCTCTTTACTTTTATAGATTTTGGGTGCTTTTTTTTTTTTTTTTTTTTGAGAAACAAAAACCAATGATTTTTCCTTGATGCTTCTGTTACTACATCGTTTTTATCCCTGCTCTAAAGATTGGAACTTCTAAGTTTATAGATATCTGTGGCAAAATCTACCTCTAGTAGTAGCTATGAAAAGGACTTAGGTTATTTTCACTTATTTATTTTTTTACCTAGAACTAAAAGATCTATAATAGAAGGGATAGTTGTTTTTTTCCCCCCAACACAATCTTCCCAAAGATTGTAACTATGCTTTTAATTTAAATCCCCTAAAGTTTTTATAATTGAAAAATACTGTGCTTCTCTATTATCTTAAGGAATGAGAGCAAATAAAACTGAAAGAAAAGTAAATTTTACCACTCCCCTACACTTAGAAAACATAAAGATTTCCTGAGACCTTCAAAAATTACTGAAATGCACTGCCAACATTTTTCTGAAAACTAGCCCAATAAAAGTGTTTTCTTCTGAATTCTGGAACAGAAAGGACTATTAAAATGCTGAGGTGTGCAACCTGGGGTCCTAATTGCTGAACTCCTATCATTGCCAGGATCCAGAGGCTGGGGATGTAGCTGACACACAATAGTACTTCAATTTAATGCTTGTTTACATATTGGGGGGAAAACACAAAACACCTGAACTCTTACATATTCCCAATTCAGCTGCCTGAACTGTTTGTTACTTAGGAAGGCTTTAAGGTTTTCCAGTGCAAGCTGTTTGCTAACTCAATAGGGGTGCAGTTCACTGCTACTGTGGAGAGGAAACAGATCTTGAAAGACCCAGGTAAACTCAGATTCTGCTGCTTCCTTTTAGAAGTCAAACAAGTCAGAAGCCTAAATGGCAGTCATTAACATATGAAGTTTCAATAGATGCCTAAAGTGGTATTCTTAAGACGCTACCTTCATTAAATACCTGCAAAGGATTTATCAAAAAATGTGATAAATTGGTATCTGGATTGTATTTTCTGTAAAACTGCAACTTACTATCCAACTAGAGGCCCCATGCACGAAATTCGTGCAAGGGGCTTGGCCCTCGCAGCCCCAGCGGCTTGCCTCAGCCCTCACAGCCCTGGCTTCCTCCGGAAGGTTGTCTGGAAGGAAGTCTGGTCTAATTAGCATATTATGCTTTTACTATTATAGATGCTAAACTTTCTCTTGTCATCTGGGGAAAAAAAGCTGGTTATAAAAACATCTATGTGTGTAACTCAGAGTACTTCCTCCAGAGGGGTCAGGCTAAGAACATGAAAACCAAATAAAGGATCTTTCTTTCCAGTGATTACATTGTAAAAAATCTTATGAATCGTGTGTAGTCGGATATCCACTACTTAAAGTAATTAAACCTGCTTTATTAAAACACACATTCCTCCCAAACCAACTTCCCCCAAATAAATGACTTTTATATACATATTTTGGACCCTATCTCTTTATTCAACTGTGAAGTTTCTCTGCAGTTGTTTTTTTTTTTTTAAAACAAAGCTCATCTTAGATTCACCACATATTTAAACAAAGGTCATTTTAGATTCACCACATATTTTAAAATATATTTTTATTGCCTGGCTGGTGTGGCTCAATGGTTGAACATTGACCTATGAACCAGGAGGTCACGATTCGATTCCTGGTCAGGGCACAAGCACCGACTCGATCCCCTACCTCCTGCATGCCCCCCACTGGGGACCGAGCCTGCAACCTGGGTATATGCCCTGACCAGGAATCGAATTATGTATCATGGGTTGATGCTCAACCACTGAGCTATACCAGCCAGGCTCTCTGCAGTTTATACCTGACTTTAACTGCATTCTCTTTACATTTTGCTTGTTACCCGTCAAAAGAGAACCCACATTTTTCTCTGCCACTATTCATGATTCCCTCCCCTATCAAATGAAAATACTAAGAATATCTTTAAAGCTGTCTGAAGTGCAACAGCTTTCCAAGATAAAATAAGAATAGCTATCATGCCCAGCTGGTGCAGCTCAGTGGCTGAGGGTCGAATCATAAACCAAGAGGTTACCGGTTCAATTCCCAATGAGGGCACATGCCCAGGATGTGGACTTGTACCCCAGTAGGGATGTGCAGGAGGCAGCCAATCGATTATTCTCTCATTATTTATGTTTTTATTCCTCTCTTGCTCTCCCTCTCTCTGAAATCAATAAAAACATATTTTTTTAAAAAGCTATCATATTTTAAATAAGTTTCTAACCATAACAGAAACATTCATTGTTGTGAACACTCACCTTTCACCACATGTGTTTTCACTGTCAAAACACTTTCACACCTATACCTCATTTTGGCCTCACTCACTACTATTCTGTGAAGGAGGTACCACAGGGGTTACTAACTCTATTTTGTAAGTGGGGAAGATGGATAAAACACTTGTCCAAAGTCATACGACTAGTTAACAATAGCAAGTATCTAAGGACTTTTGCCCTAAGCTTTAAAGAGCAGCTAAAGGCCAGGGTACCACTGGCTGTGACCAGAAATATTTGCTGCACTATCTGCAATCTCCTCTATTTGCAAACTTTCTTACCCTTTTCTGGTCAACTTTTCCTCTTCTTCCATTTCCTTTCTGTTTTCTAGGTTTAGCAGAGGGCCCTTAAGTACTTCTTAACAACTCTTTTACTGGCACTCAAGACAGAAAATGGTGTTAATTTATGACCCTGAGAAGTGGCTGTAAATGTGTAGTTCATCAACAAAAACCTTGTAGAACAGTGCTGTCCAACAGAACTTTCTATGATCATGGAAGTGTTCCATATCTGCACTAATACAGTAGCCACTCACCTCATGTGCATTCTGGGTGCTTGCAATGTGTGCAGTACAACTGAGAAACTGAATTTTAAATTGTGTTTAATTTCAATTTAATAGCTATCTGTGGACAGTACAGTTCTAGAGTCATCAGATGACCTCCTGTACCTTTATGATTGGTATAAATAACATATTATTTACTAGAATATCTTACTGGATCTCCTTAGAAGCAGGACCATCATTCCCATTCAATCTAATTATTTTAGAATTGTTTACCTTTAAAATTAAATAATAGATGGGGCAGAATACAGACAGTCCCTGACTTACGGTGGTTTGATTTTATGATGGTGTGAAAGCAATATACATTCAGTAGAAACCATATTTTGAATTTTGATCTTTTCCCGGGCTATCAATATGTAGTATGATACTCTCATGATGCTGGGCAGTGGTGCCCCAGCCACAGCTCCTTCAGCCATGTGATCACAAGGGCAAACAAATGATACTCTGTGGCAGTGGTTCTCAACCTTCCTAATGCCGCGACCCTTTCATACAGTTCCTCATGTTGTGGTGACCCCCAACCATAAAATTATTTTCGTTGCTACTTCATAACTGTAATTTTGCTAGTTATGAATCGTAATGTAAATATCTGATATGCAGGATGTATTTAGGCGACCCCTGTGAAAGGATCGTTCGACCCCCAAAGGGGTCACGACCCACAGGTTGAGAACCGCTGCTCTATGGTATAGTATTAAATGTATTTTCAACTAAACGATATTTCCACCTTGCGATGGGTTTATTGGGACATAAGCTGAGGAGAATCTGTAGTCCATGGTTTCTGGCTCTGCTTGAGCTGAACAAATTTGAGCACTCAAAAGACACTCCCCCCAAATCCAGATTCACCGCCCAAATTTATAATGTAGGGATTCCTCCACATGTTTTTGTTTCTCTTGCCTACCACAACCCATCATGCATGGTAGTAAAGAGTATAAATTCTACACATCTAATCTCTCAAACATAAGGCTTCCTGGCCATAACAAAAGCCAGACTTTTATCCTCCCTTCTCCCATGAGGTACTCATGCCCAGGCAGATTAAACTTCCAACAGCATTGAAATGAGTGAAGCCCGAAGGATAAAGTAACCCAGAGTTTGTGATTCTATGTAGTTGTCAACAATCTGAAAAGGATTTGGCAAATCTCAAGAATGGTAGACATACAATCTTCCTATTATTTCCAGCTAAAATAGCATGTAAGGAACCGCCCTGCCAGCCCCATGGTCCTGTGTTCTTGCCTGTCTTGACCTAGACCCCACTCAGTTCTGCCACCAAGACCCCAGAGCAGTTCACCTTGAAACTCTGTGTTGTCGAGGCCCCTGATGGCCTCGACCGCATCCTCTGCCCGCTCCATGTGTACGAAGGCATAATCTTTCACGATGTCACACTCGATGACTGGACCGTACTCCTCAAACTTGGCCCGAAGCTCTTGGTTGGTACAAGTGGGACTGATGTTGCCCACATGCAACTTGGTTGAAGCTTTGCTCTTATTCTTGCTGGCTTCCACATTGATGTTCACCCCGTGCAGCTTGTAGTGGTGCAGGTTGCGGATGGCATCTTCTGCCGCCGTCTTGTCCTCTATGTGCACGAAGCCGTAGTTCTTAATGATGTCACATTCCAGCACCTTCCCGTACTGCTCGAAGAGTGAGCGGATCTCCTGCTCTGTGGCCTCCCGGGGCAGGTTTCCGATGAACAGCTTCACCATCCTGACGAGAGCCTGAGCGAGAAGAAACAAAATTTCCAAAAGTTAGGGGCGCAGTGGACAACCTCAGTGCGTTGCCTTTGGTTAGATCCTCCGCGTACGTTCTTGGTACCTTCAAGACCCTCGCACAGGCGTCCGTTATTTTTTCTCAACAGAAGGAGAAAGGGTTGTTCTCAGGGAGCCGTGTGCGCTGTGTGGGGCACACAAACTGGAGGTCGGGGTCAGTATGCATTGCCTTCTCCATCATCTCTGTGAAATGAGGAGCATTTGAGTGACAGGCTTAGCCGTTTCACGTCTTAAAATACTCTTTCGGGGCAGGAAAGAGAAGAGCTCAAGCAGGCAGGGGCCAGAGGCACATATCTGAGTGTCCCCGGGCGCAAGGTTTTGGAGGGAAATCTGTGTACCTCTCCTCCCTCAGGCTTCACCTTTCAAGATGCTCTCAAAATAAGGCCCCTGGGGCCCCAATCCAGGACACCTCCCTACTCGCCCCCGCCCTCCCCAGCGGCCCAACCTGCAGCTCCTCGGTCCCAACAAAGGCTCGACCCGACCCCTGCCCCGCCTCCTCCGGAGACCCGGCCCCGCCTCCTCCCGTTGTCTTCCCCGGACCTCCCTCAGACAAGCCCGGGGCCGTCTCCGTCCGCTGAGGCCCGGCTTGGGCCGCCCCAGCCCGCCCTCGGGCTCCCCACACACCCACAAGACCCCCCTCTTACCTCCGGGGGGCGGCGGCGGCGGTGGCGGCGGCTCCCGCGTCAGAGAGAACCCTACAAAATGGCGAAGGCCGCTCGAGCCTCCGCGACCCGGCCCGTCCTCGCGCGCCAGCTCACGCACGCGCCAGTGCGCGCTCCCCTCCCCTCCCCTCCCCCTCGCGGGAGCCGGGCGACCAATCCCACGGCCGCATGTAAATGACTGCCCCTGGCTCAGCTCCCGGCGACCCCGACACGGGGGCGGGGCCAGCTGGTGACGGCGCTGCGGAGCAGAGGTCAGCCCGCCCCCGGCCCCAACTCGCCAATCACCACCCTGGAAGCGGGGGTCGCCGCTCACGCGTCAGAAAGGTTCGGGACGCAAACGCTGCCCCGGTGAAATCAGAAAGCCGGTGTCACCAGCCATCACAATGGGGGCTGCTGTAAGGGCCTGCTGCAGCGGGGGAGCGGGGCCGGCAGCTGATGACAAAGTTACCTCACTGGGTCCCCTAAAAAGGGTTGCCAGCTTGGTACAACATTTTAGAAATACACATTTTGAGCAAACCTAGTCATTTTTTGTAAAGCTTTAAACATAATTAAGATTTTTTTCATTGCAAACATGTTATTCATTGATGAGGAAATAGAACCAAAGCCGGCAGAGCTGGGATAGCTCTAGGAGGCATTCCATCAAGGCTCCCCGGAGTCATGTTCTGTTTGCTCACGTGTAGACGTGGCTGGTTTTCTCCCCAGCCAGGGTATGAGCTCTGTGTGTCCTCGCAGCACCGCGTCTGTGGTGAGCGCACCGAAGGAGTACTCGGTACAAGGCCCGGAGAGGTGCCTTGATTTGGGTGGGGGTAGGGGCTCCACATCCACACTGAGCTGCTGGGCTAGACAACTGTGAGTCCCAGGGCACTGCGCGCCTTCAGGATTCAGCTGTGGTCTAAGGGCACCTCCTGGTGGCCAAAGGGAGGCTATCAGCTGGGTTACTCCCTGTCACCCTCCAACAAAGAGTAGACGTTTGTAGAGAGATGGACTGTTTATCTCTGAGTAGAGCATGCCAGGGTGATTGTCAATCACCGTTCCTCACTGCGATGCCTTCATAGAAGCTGTCCTGATACCATCAGGCACGAATTCCTGAGGCTGCCTTCCTCCTCCCCAACTATTTTGATATGTTTCTTTCACTGGGATCTTTTTGCTTCCCAACTAATTCAGAAGAGGCACTGTTCTTGCAATTCTAATAACGGTCATGCTTGTCTCCCACCTATTGGTATCTACCTCTCTTCTTCCCTTATTCTCTGGCCATTTCCAGTTTCTCTCCACCCTCAAACGTTTAAAACATGTATAGGGACCTCCTTAGCTATTTCTGAAATAGCTTTCACTCATCTTCACTATACCGACGTCACAAGTGGAGGCTCTGAACCTGCATCATCCACCTTTATGCACTGAGTTTTGGGTTCTGTTCTCTCCAATTCCCAAAATTTTCTGAGGTCACCAAAACTAATGTCCTTTGATTAGTATTAACCCTTCTAAACTTTTCATTTCATTCATCATCCTTTCTTCTGTTTTTATACAGTTTCTTTGCATAGCTCTGACTGTACCATTCCATTTCTTTCCCCTGTTTCTTTACTCTTTTTTTTTTTGAACAAAGAAAATGACAGCTTTAATGAAATGAAACCCTGTTGTTACCCACATTTCACAGATGTGGGAAGTGGGGTTCAGAGAGGCAGGCCACTGGCCTGTGTGACTGCACAGTCCCCTGAAGCACAAGGCCACCAAGCCTCTGAAGACCCCAAATCACCCCTGAACCCAGCAGTTGACTACCAGTCATGGAGGGGACACCACCTCAGCTCAGGTTTGGGGGATAAAAGACCAAAGAGAAGTGATGTCCCCACAGTCCCCTAAATCCAGGGGGTCAGGTTTCCTGGGGGCTCCCAGCGGGGCCAGCTTCCCGGGTTAGAGCGGGCATATAGCTGAAGGAGGAGGACAGGCAGGGGTTCCAGTGGGCCGCTGACCTCGGCGCGCTGGGCCATGGTGCTGGCCCCCACCGTGTAGATCTTCCTTGCTCCAGCTTGGGCGGCAAAAAATGACACTTGTCCTTGAAGTCCGCGTGGTTCCGCAGTAGCGCACGCTGGTAGGTGCCTGCCTCACGTAGTCCTGCATCATGTTCTGCTGCTGGGACAGGTGGCCATAACACTGGAAAAACTGCTCGGTGGACTCCCGTCCGCTCGCTGAACACCGCCCGTTCCAGGGTATGGACCCGGCAGGACTTCAGGGTGTTGTAGAAGGAACAGAAATCATGGGGTGTAGCGAACTGGATGAGGCCGCTGTTGCAGCCCAGGGTGATGAGGAAAGGATGCTTGCCCACGCGGCTGCACTCCGTCTCACGGGACACTGAGCACTTGAATGCACATATAACTTCATGGCTGAAGAGGGCGATGCCTGCCGACTCCGGGCCGGCGCTGCTGCTCCGTGTGCCGCTGGATCTGGCCATTCGCGTCCCCAATGGTGAGGAGGCGTCACTGGGGAACGTGGACACAGTCGCACAGGGCCCCACCTGTTTCCTTACTCCTATCTATTCCCTTTTATCTCCTCTCCCTGCCCCTCATAGGCAATCATTCTAATGAGTTTAATGTGTATTATTCGTTTGTGTTCTTGCAAGACATGTCTTCTTAGGGCACATTTGCTTTTTCCATTAAAATGTTTTACGTGGAAAATTTCAAAAGGCACAAATTGAGAATATTATAATGAACTCCTACGGACCGTTTACCCAGATTTGACCATTACATCTTGCTGATACTTCATCTAGCCCCTGTACTCTTTTGGAGGAGGGCTGGAGTTTTTAAAAGCAAATCCCAGACATAATGTAATTTCTCCTATGAAGGCCTCATTATCTGCCTCTAATTAAAACACCCAGCGTATGCTATGGTAATATTATCTGATACTTATAGTCAATTTTCCCCTAGGTTCTTGCAAATATCTTTTTACACTTGGTTTCTTCTAATTTATGTAAATTGTGTTGTAGAGCTCATTGTTTCTAACTTTTTTCACTAAGTGCTATGTTACTGTGTCATATCTAACAACTGAGTAATACTCCATAGTATGCAACCACCATATTTTTCCGATTCATCTCTGAATGTAGGGCATCAGGTTACCTCCAACTCCCCACCATTGTATACAAGGTTGAAATTAGCATCCTTATGTTGATTATTAATGCCCTAACAGATCCATGTGAGAATTTGGGAGGGTATAAACTCAGGGTGAAATTGTTAGGTTGTTCTCTAGAAACCAGTCCATCCTTCCACCTATAGCTGTGAAAACAATAACGACTATCTGTGCAGGAGATGGAGAGCTATCATCATTACCTCTTCAGTCTTATATTTTGTCAAAATCAATGTTTTTTTAAAATATATTTTATTGATTTTTGACAGAGAGGAAGGGAGAGGTATAGAGAGTTAGAAACATCGATGAGAGAGAAACATTGATCAGCTGCCTCCTGCATGTCCCCTACTGGGGATGTGCCCGCAACCAAGGTACATGCCCTTGATCGGAATTGAACCCGAGACCCTCCAGTCCGCAAGCCGACACTCTATCCACTGAGCCAAACTGGCCAGGGCAACATTAATGTTTTTACCTTTCACTTTTAGGTCTGTAGTTTCATTTTGAGCAGTGCTGTCCAAATAGAAACATGTGAGCCATATACATAATTTAAAATTGTCTAGTAAACACATTTAAAAAGTAAAATGAACTTTAATACTTTTGAAACCCAATATAGCTAAAAGATCATTTCAACATATAATCAATATAAAAATTCATTTTTGTTTGTTTTTGTTAATCCTCACCCAAGGATATTTTTTCCATTGATTTTTAGGGAGAGTGGGAGAGAGAGGGGAAGACAGAGAGAAACATCGATATAAGAGAAACACATCGATTGGTTGCCTCCTGTACGAGTCCCAACCAGGGCCTGGGCCGGGGAGGAGCCTGCCCTTGACCAGAATCGAACCCCGGATCCTTTGGTCTGCAGGCCGACGCTCTATTCACTGAGCCATATCGGCCAGGGCAATATAAAAATTCTTTTTTTTTTTTTTTTTTTTTTTTTTTTTTTAGTTATCATTTTTTTTTTTTTTTTTTTTTATTTATTTTTTTTTTAATAATAATTTTTATTTCTTAAAGTATTACAAATAGTATTACATATGTCTCCTTTTTTCCCCCCCCATTCCCCCGACCCCTACCCCCCGCCCCCCCGCCCCGTGTCTTGTGTCCATTGGTTAATCTTATATGCATGCATATAAGTCCTTCAGTTGGTCTCTTAATCCCCCCCCCCAACCCTCCCCAGGCTTCCCACTGTAGTTTAACATTCTGTTCAATGTTGCTCTGCTTCTGTATCTACCCCTGTTCATCAGTAATATAAAAATTCTTAATGAGCCCTGACTGGTTTGGCTCAGTGGATAGAGCGTCAGCCTGCGGACTGAAAGGTCCCAGGTTCGATTCCAGTCAAGGGCATGTACCTTGGTTGCGGGCACATCCCCAGTAGGGGGTGTGCAGGAGGCAGCTGATCCGATGTTTCTCTCTCATCGATGCTTCTAACTCTCTATCCCTCTCCCTTCCTCTCTGTAAAAAATCAATAAAATATATTTAAAAAATTCTTAATGAGATATCTTAACTTCTTTTTTTCCTCTTCAGTCTTTGAAATCCAGTGAGCATTTTGCACTTACAGCACATCTCAATTCAGCTAGCCATATTTCAAGTGCTCAGTAGCCACATGTGGCTTGCAGCTGCTGTATTGGACAGCACAGATCCAGCATTCACCCTTGGAGATGGTATTAGGTAAAAATGTAAACATATTTTTAAAA